TTTAGGGAAGAGGAACCTAAGGGAGTCCTTTGAGTATTCTGAAATGGGAAAAGGCCCGAGACAGCAAGTGGCATTCCCAGAGCACTGGCAAGGCGAACCTCCTTGCTGAAGACACCTTGAGAAATTGATTAATGGCCTTATGGGCCATGTTTGCCTGGGATAGCAAGGTCCTGGACATGAAGTTGGAGGTGTAGATGGTGCCCGCAGTCCCCCTGATGTGTATTGCTGCTAACCAGAGGAATCCCGCTGGCGCCTGTGGGAAACTGCATTTGGAAAGTAATGGCTCCTTTCTTTCTTTGTGTTTTCCTTTGGGCAGCATCCATTTTTAGAAAAGTCCTGTAGTCTTGCAAGCATGAGTCCTCTACTCGATGCAGCCAGGAGCTCCCGTGCAGAGAGGTTCACAACACTATCACCAGAACCTCTGTTGGCTCCATCTCTTACTGGAGAGGAGGGTAAAGAAGAGCAAGTAGAGAAGGAAAACATCAAAGCAAAGCCTGAAGGAATGAAACCAGTAAGTGCCAGCTTTGGTTAGCACTGCCTTTGGTGTCAATCAGAGCTGCAAGTTCCTGAGCAGACAGTGCTTGCCATGCATAGCTGAAGAGTGTGAGGGCTGGAGCCCTGCCATGACATGGTGCTTCAGCCCAACCACTGACACCTGGAAAAGCAATTTTGAACTTCCAAGTTGAGTCAAGAGTGTCCCTTGCAGGAAACACAGCAATAACTGTGCCCTAGAGGGTAGTTGCCCCTCTGCACAACCTAGTTGACAAAATGCATGAAAATTGAAGAGGAAACTGCCCATGAACTCGTGTAAATCCTGTCTTTTCTTCTCGTCCATTCACCTGGTGAAGTGGGCAGCAAGAGACAGTTTAAGAGCCCGACTTGTGGCCAACAGCATCTTCCCAAGGGTTTACATTTGAACCATGATCTCAGGGCATCTCTGCAAGCCACCTTTCTGACATAAACTATTTCTTGCCACAGATCCTCAAGAGGCCTGGTGCTGCTGCTGCAGCACCACAACCTGAAGAAGTCACCTTTGCCAACACTGAAATGCCAAGCACAAGCACCGGGAAAGGAGACACTCGGAAGGAAAGCATTCCAAAGGAAATCACCGACCGGCCGCCAAAGCTATCCCCACTAACACGACTTTTCCTGACTGAACTCAGTACGTATCATGTATTTCCTGCCTGGTACAGCAGTCCATGGTATGCATGTCAGCTTTAGTTCTACCAAAGGAAGAGAGGAAGCAACAGAGCACTGTGGCTGTTCCTTCTGCTGAATCACAGGGAGTCTTTCTCCCCAAGAAAATAAGGGCTCTGTTGCTCCAGCTCTTCTTTAATATTTGTAGATGACAAACTCTTTCATTGGTGCCTGTTCTTTTCCAATTTCTGTCTCCTGTGAGCATTCCTCCATGAGCTTAGTTTCCTGTCAAGGTAAACCCTCAAAAGACTGTGGAAAATCAGTCTTTGTGGAGCCACCTGTGCTTT